GGGCAGATGATTTCCAAGTTACTCTCTCTATACTTTGATTACATTCAACATTTTGACACCAGACCCACCATTATTATTTGGAATTTTACCCAAACCCTCAGTTCTGCTGCAAAGGCAACAGTAGACAATTTGTTTTCTATTGCTGGTTATAAATAACATACGACATCGTGTGACTGCAGTAGTGACCGTGCGATTTTGAAATTACGAAATTTTAACAATTAAATTCGGAGGGATTTCTTGCCAAAACCTGCTGGGTTCCGAGATTTGTTCCTGAGTCTCTGGGATCATGGCCATTAAGCAGCTTGATCAGGAGCCAGAGAGGCCGTTCGTGGGCGGTGACTCTCCGTCTTGTTGTGGTGGGGAGGAAAGGGCCGGCTCCACCCCCATCCCATCAGGCCCTACATACCTTGTGACTGATGGCCCAAGCCTGACTGTCCAATGACTTCTGGAAGATAACGGCCACTGAGCTGTCCAGGGGGAGCAGGCAGAGGGACAACACCCTTCCCCCCTTGGGGTGGCCCAGCAACAGTAACCTACTGCATGGTCTGCACGCACTTCTGCCAAAAGCCGCTGGGTTTCAAGATTTGTTTCTGAGTCTCTGGAATCATGGCCATTAAGCAGCTTGATCAGGAGCCAGAGAGGCCGTTTGTGGGCGGCGACTCAGGGTCTCGTTGGAATGGGCAGGAAAGGGCTGGCTCCACCCCCATCCCATGAGGCCCCATGTGTCTCGTCACTGCGGGCCCAAACCTGACAGTCCAGTGGCCTCCGGAAGATGACGGCCACAGGCTGCCAGGGGGAACAGGCCAAGGCACGAAACCTATTCCAACCTGGGGTGGCCCAGCACCAGTAACCTACTGCAGGGACCAGATGCATTTCTGCCAAAAGCCGCTGGGTTTCGAGATTTATTTCTGAGTCTCTGGGATCATGGCCATTAAGCAACTTGATTAGGAGCTAGAGAGGCCGTTCGTGGATGGTGACTCGTGGTCTTGTTGGGACAGGGAGGAAAGGGCTGGCTTCACCCCCATCCCATGAGTACCCCCTCGTCTTGTCACTGTGGGCCTAAACTGACTGTCCAATGTCCTTTGGAAGATGGCGGCCACCTAGCCGCCTAGGGGGAGCAGGCGGAGGGACAGCACCCTTTCCCCCTTGGTCCCACCCCACTTTAAAAAAAATGTTTCATACACATTTTCAGGAATATATATATATATTTATATATATATATATACACACACACATAATAATTTACTCTAGTAAGAAGTATTTGCTTTTAGAATCTCATTAGTGAAACCTCATGGAATTTCTATTTTAATACCTATCTATTTTGTGATACTGGGACTGAACAAAGCTATGCACACAACATGCAAGGCAGGCACTGTACCACTGAGCCACATCCCCACCTGAAGTTGCTACTTTTTTTTTTTTTTTTTGCTTTTTTAGGTCACACCCAGCAATGCACAGGGGTTACTCTTGGCTCGTGCACTCAGAAATTACTCCTGGTGGTGCTCAGGGGACCATCTGGGATGTTGGGAATCGAACCCGGGTCAACCACGTGCAAGGCAAACGCCCTCCCTACCTGCTGTGCTATCTCTCCAGCCCCTGAAGTTGCTACTTTTAAAAGGCAAAAGTTACTTTATTATTTTATTTTGTGTTTTTTATTATTATTATTTTTTTTTTTTTTTTTGGTCGGGGAGGGAGCATATCTGATAATGGTCAGGTTACTTACTCCAGTTCTGCACTTAGGGACCACATTATTGGCAGTGCTCAGGGGACGAATGGGGTGCCAGGGATTGAACCCAGGTCAACTGCAAGCGCCCTGTTGACTCTACTATTTCTCCATTCAAAACCAAAAATAATTTTAAAAGGCAGAAAGTGGTAGAATGTTGGCCTGAATTGATTGCATTCCTGCCCATAGGGTTTGAGATATATTTAATGCCAGGGATTGAATGTGCAGACTCTCATTCTTATGAAGCAAATACTCTTGTACTGAGCTGTATCTTTGGCCCCATTAATTACTTTTTTTTTAAACATCGTAGTGGAATTTCTGAACCATGAGGTATATATTTTAGAATATGTTTTCTTATGGAAAATTGTGAACATATGTTAAAGTAGACAAAATAATGAATTCCTTCTTGCCTCCAACAACGGCCAGTATGGCCAGTCTCCCTCCTCCTCATCCATATTTTTTTTGAAAAATCCAAACATGATGTCATTTGATTTGTAAATTGTTTGTGGAAAGGCAAGGTTCTCCCTCTTCTTTTTGTGTGTGTGGGGTGTGTGTGCCACACCCTGCTCTTCTCAGGGCTTACTCCTGATGCTGAGCTCAAGGATCATTCCTGATGGTGTTCAGGTGCTGGGGATTGAACCTGGGTCAGCCACATGCAAGGCTAATGCCCTACCTGCTGTACTCTCACTCCCACTGCTCCTCTGCTTTTTTTTTGAGGCCACACCTGGTGATGCTCAGGGGTTACTTCTGGCTCTACACTCAGGAATTACCCTGGCATGTTCAGGAGACCATATGGGATGCTGGGGATTGAACCCTGGGCCCAGTGCATACAAGACAAGCATCTGACCCTTTGTACTCTCTCTCCAGCCTCTGTACTTGATTTTTTTAGTGAGCTGCACAAGCCAGTAGGTAAAAAATGTTGATTAGAAAATAACAGCTAAGAGCAGAGAAGCTCAACAAAATTTTCAGCAATCATGGGCTTGCAGAGATAGAGGAAGAATCCTAGAGAACATTCCAGTCTTTCCATTACCGTCTCCCATAATTATATCCTAGCAGTGAGGGTTAGCTACATATAAAAGCAGACCAGGTGTTATATGATAGAAAACTGGCTTCCAGTTAGCTGAAATTCTGATGGGATTGGTTTGTAGTGTCCCCCAGAAACTAAAGAAAATCTATTGTAAAAGATATTTTTATCCACAATCTCTACAACTTATGTTTGGTTAGGGGCCACCCCGAGCACCCAGGTGATTCTCAGGGCTTACTCCTGGCCAGGCCCTGGGGGAACGCTATGTGAATCTGGGGTTTGGTTGCTTACAAGGCAAGAGCCTTACTTACTATAGTTTCTCTGACCCACACTCCAGACAACTTTTATTACATTCATCTGGCATTCAATCTCAGTTTACACCCGTTCCCAGAATCAGGGACAAGAGGAAAATATAGAGACACAGATGATCAAGTGTGGATTTCAGTAAAAAATCAAGTCCGTCCTTTGTTTCAAATGAGAAATCTAACGTTGCAATTGTTTGCCTCTGTAGGTAAATCTCTCCATTTACATTAGTTGTTTTTGTGTGTTTCTGTGTATGTGTGTGTGTGTGTGGGGGCGGTGTCTTTTGTTTTCAGAAGTTTAACTACAGTATATCGTGATATGTATTGGTTTGGGCTTTTACCCGATTTAGGATTCTTTAAACTTCTTGAATCTGTAAGTTTGTGTGTTTTGCCAAGTTCTAGAAATATTACTACAACAAGTTTTGGAAGCTTCATTTCCTCCCTGATGGCTCTGTGAGCCCTGTCCCCAACTCCTCCTCCACCTCCTCCTCCTCCTCTTCCTCCTCCTCCTCCCTGTTCTCTTTCTCTTCCTCCTCCTCACTTCTTACTCTTTTTTTTTCAGGTTTTGAAAAAAGTTGAGTCTTTCCCCCTTCCTTACCCTGCTTCTTTTTCACTTAGATACTGTGTTTTCTAGTTCTGAAATTTCCATTTGATTTGTTATATTTTTGGTTCTTGTTTTGTTTTTTGGGCCATACCTAGTGGTGCTCAGTGCTTACTCTGGTTCTCTGCTCATCATCACTTCAGATGGGGCTGTTACCATCTGGTGGGAACCAACTCCTAGTAGCTCTTCTCTGGCACTTCATCGTGAGAGTTGTGGGTACTCTGTGACACTGGCAAGGGTAGACATAGACTCCCAACTTGACCTTCACTGAGAGATGAGTCCACAATTTGTTTTGAGTTTATGATATTTGGGTACAGTAGCCTTTGCCCAGGTTTTGCCTTTTCCGATGTTGTAACTGGGAAGAACAGGATTTTGTTTTCTTGGTTTGGTTTTCCGGGTATTTTGGATCTATTGGTACTTGTAGGTTACCAGTTTCATCAGAACATATTCTAGAATCTGTAAGTCATGAAAGAAAACCTGTAGACCTCACTGTGGTGTCTTTTAACTCGGATTACCTTCTTCGCTCTACGTTTCGAGTGTTCTTCCTTTATTTACTATTTATGGTGTGTTTTTGTTTTACAGCTGAGGGGAATAGATAAATAGGCATCTATTTCACTTCCCTTATATGTGAAAGTCCCCAAGTACCATTTTTTAATTCTTAATTTTCTAGTTTTCATTGAAATTATAATTCCCTTTTGGGGGTCAGAGAGATAGTGCAGAAGTTAAGGTTTTTAACTTAACCTTGCATGCAGTGAACCCTGACTTGATCTCAAGCACCACATATGGTCCCCTTAGCATTACCATGGGTCACTCCTGAGCATAGACATAGGAGTAGCCCCTGAATACCTCCAGCTGTGACCCAATCCCTCCACCCCCCCCAAAGTTCCCTTTTAGTCTGTTTTGCCACGTGCTTAATTGGGTATAATTTCATTACTGTGTCTCACTTTAAGGTTGTTAAAATTTTTTTCAATGAAATTAAAGTTAATCATCTACGTTAGAAGTTTCAGATTTAATCTTTTAGTCAGTGTTTTGAGAAAGTAATATTTTTCTATATCCCATTTTATTAAAAAATGTGTAAGTCTGCAACTGTACCTCATGATGTCTCACTATTAAAATTTTTTTAAAAAAATACATAAATTCATATAAAATCTTTAGGTTTTATTTGCTTTAAGAGAAATGTCCCACTGTGATTTATCTAACTAATGTTGTATATGTTAATGAATTAAGAATAATACTTTATGCATGTTAAATTTATTTACTGTCCACATCCTATTTTGTAAAGTGGAATGCATTCATTTCATGTGTTTTATTCAAGTGGTCTGAGTTAATATCTTATTTTTCTCCTTTTAGGTTCCCTTCACAACTGCGTCAGAGAAGAAATTATAAGCTAAGAAATAACTAAATACTACTCAGAGGGATTTAGAAATAAGTGGGGTAAGTTTAAAATCTTAAAGCTTTTCAGAATTTTTTTAGTGAATTCCTGATTTTGGCCTGGTACGTGCCATGCATGAAGTCAGGCCTTGGAAAGAATAGCTTCACTTTTATTTTGCTCTTGGCCCAGAGAGGTTTGTAAATCTTTTTGATTAGAAGCTCTTTGAAAGGCTGCTTAAAGCTGTGATCCCTTCTCTAGACTTTCACATATTCAGTCGGGAGTTGAGGCCCCGGATATGTGGCCCTGGAAACAATCCTTGGCACCACACCTCACTCCTAACCCCAGCACTGCCAGGTTTGGCCCTAGTTTCCTCGGAGCACTTCTGGCTTGAGCACCAACTGGTTGTGACCCCCAGAACAATAAAAATAAAATAGAAACAGAGCTGAACACAACTCCTCCACACTATAGTTTTAAAGACATTTTATACATGGTGCTGCTCTCTTAATTGTATAACCCTGAGGGGCTGGAGTGATAGCACAGTGGGTAAGGCGTTTGCCTTGCACACGGCCAACCCGGGTTCGATTCCCAGCATACCATATGGTCCCCTGAGCACCGCCAGGAGTAATTCCTGAGTTCAGAGCCAGGAATAACCCCTGTGATTGCCGGGTGTGACCCAAAAAGAAAAAAACAATTGTAGAACTCTGAAACTCATTCCACTTTTACAGTGAAGGACCAAGTGCTCACACCAGCACATGACTTGCCTTTTCTAAAGAGCTGTCAGATGTAAGTCTCAGATTGAAAGTTTTCACAGTGTCAGAATTCCTTCATTAGGTGATTCCTGTGGTTTTAGCTATTCATGTCACAGTGTTTCCTTATATGGCTGTGTGACCTTTTTCTCATTGACAGCTAATGAGCGGGCCTATTGATCAGGCCTGCTTTCCTACCCACCACATTATCACACTGACAATCCCCCAGTGTCCGATAAGTTGGCATGTGCACTCAGAGATTCGATTGGTTTCTTTGTACTTAGGGTCTTCTAGCCACTTAATTTTATAGGTTCATGTTATCAGTTATTAATATTTAATGATACTTGTTTTTGCAAATATGGTTATCCTTTCATTTGACTTTTTTACTTTATTCTGATTTTAAAATATGTTAGAAAGTTTGGATTCAAAGACCAGAAATATGGTACAGTGGGTCAGGTACTTGTTTTACACGCAGCTGACATGAATTCAGTCTCTAACACCCCATATAGTTCCCTGAGCCTGGCAGGAGTGATCTCTGAGCACGTAGCCTGGAATCAGCCCTGAGCACTGCTGGGTGTGGTCCAAAGACCAATAAGGAAATAAAAATAGAAACATTCAGTATTCAGAACTACCATTTCTCTATTTTTTCTTTTGTTAGTGTAAAGATATTAAAGATTTGACACATTCGTGTGAATGTACTCATATTTATTCTTGTCCCCTTCCCCCCCCCCCCCCCCGCCTTATTTTTCTTTTGGCGCTCAGAATTGAGCCCAGGGCAATCACATATGTAAGGCAAGTCAAGTGCTCTTCCCTGAGCGACACACCTAGCCATATTCACAGACTTTAAATTTTATTTATTTATTTTGGGGGGCCCACACCCAGCAGGGACTCTACTCAGGGGTCACTCCTGGTGAGTTCAGGGGTACCAGAGAGAGTGCTGAAGATGGAACCCAGGTCAGCCACATACATGTACCCTACTCACTGTACTACCATTCTGGCCCTAAAATTTAGAACATTTCTTCTTCTTAGTTGCTGTACTTTGCTTTCTTTGGGTCATAGCATCATTATTAATATCATTTTTTTGTTTTGTTTTTGTTTTGTTTTACCGTCAGTCTTTTCCACCTTTGGTTTTCATCTAGCAGTTGGTGAGTCTTAACAGTTCTTCTTTACAGTGTTTTCAAATGAAGGTCTAAATCACTGGTGATTCAGTTTGAGTATATCTAACAATCCTTTAGTGACCCAATTTCAATGCAGATTCCACACCAGTAAAACCTGATTCATTATATCTTAGGTATAGATCACCTAAACACTTAAGATATTACAATCTTGGTAAGCTGGTATGATGTGTAATGGTCACTGTTCTTCTTTACAAAGCATTGCTCTTCCACTTAATATCATCCCTGGCCTCAAGATTCCACAGATTAACTTTCAACTTGCTGTACGTTGAGTTGGAAGTGAAGTTCTTTCCTTTTCATGCACTTACAGGAACAAAATTAACAAGCTAGGCTCTGCTTTTCATTTTTTAAAAAAATTATTTAGTTATTTGCTTTTTGGTTCACACCTGGCAATGCACTGGGATTACTCCTGGCTCTGCACTCAGGAATTACTCCTGGTGGTGCCCAGCTATGGGATGCTGGGAATCGAACCCAGGTTGGCTGCGTGCAAGGCAAATACCCTACCTGCTGTGCTATTGCTCCAGCCCCTGCTTTTCCTTTTAACAGATGTTATTGCCATTCACTTCTTCCCTCCACATCCCATCCATTGACGTTGGTCCTAACCAGCTGTCTCTCAAAGCTCACCTTACAAGTCCTCTGATAAAGACTTTCCGTATAGAGCATGGTAGTAAGCAGAGTCATGCTGGTTGTCTTGTGCTTTGCTCCGCTTGTTCTGTGGGTACCTGCACTTCTAGATCCTATTGCATGAGGTGTTTAAGAAGAGGTAATTTACTATCTTGAACTGAAAATCCACCGTTTTTGAGGGGGTGGGCACGCTACACCTGGGGGGCATGCTTCTGGAAGGCATCCACCTTGCACAGTGTCAACAGGAAGCAGAACAGAAGTCACTGTGCACAGTGTCAGAAGGAAACAGAACAGAAGAGTTCCCAAGGCAGGCTTCCTCATTCCAGCAGACATCCCTGGCCAACGACTTGGAGAGGACGGTGGCAGTGTATCTGTGATCTTACCTGCTTCTCCTCTCTTTCTCTCTCTTCATTTATTCCAAAGTTCTTTGGCCAAAACCTATAATTTGAGGCTTTCATCTATACTTTTTCTGGGTTTTATACTCATTCTCCCCTAGTTAACATGGCTCATGTATTGCAGTCATGTGCAGAATGGGGTGTCTGTTCTATAACATGGATGAAACTATAAGCTCGATCTTTCAGGACTGATTAGAAAAGATGTTAATGTTCAAAATAATTCATCTGATTTCTTGCAAAACCAAATTTTCAGTATTTAATCCCATTTAAAGTCTTTCCTTTAACCCATAAGATTAGTACTAAAGATTTTTTTTCATTTATTTCTGAACTTAAAGGAATTGATGTTAATCCTAGAATAGTAGGGAAATCAGGAGGGAATGCAAATGGAAGAGCATATTAATAACTTTCTAATCATCAGGAGCTCTCCAATCTCTAAATTTTTCTTCATGTAGTTCTTTGGCCCTTCTATAAATCAAAGGACCAGTGTGCCTGGTTCTGCATTTAGGAATCACTCCTGGTGGTGCTCACGGGATGATACTGGATGCCAGGAATTGAACGTGAGTCAGCCATAAAGGTCTTACCCTACGTACTATCTCTCTAGCCCCTTAAATAGTTTCATAAGCTGTAAAATAGTCCATTTATCTCTGCATTTTGTTGTCTTCTTTAAATATTTTTAAACCAAGTTTTCACTTGTATCACTTGTCATCCTGTTATTCATTGATTTGCTCGAGGAGGCACCAGTAACATCTCCATTTGTTCCTGTTGCATGCTAGTGTAGCCCAGTGGCATCTGCTCTCTCCAGGAACATGAAGAGCCTCAAACTGTTTGTTCAGGGTTTTGATGAAGGAGTCTGACCATCTCATTGGTGGATGGTCACTACCATCCACTACCCAGCCACAGCCACGCTCCAGGCTGCTTTCAAGACTGCGCAGCCACAAAGCAGCCGCGTGACACATCATAAGACACTTAATAGCGATTCTCCGCACCATATTTGATGGGGCTCAAGTATGGTGTGAACTATGGGAACACCTGTAAGGGTGATTAGAGGCCGCCCTAAAAGTCTCCATCCCTCTCGGAGAGTCTGGCAAGCTACCAAGAGTATCCCGCCCACACGGTAGAGCCTGGCAAGCTACCCGTGGCGTATTCAATATGCCAAAAACAGTAAAAACAATGGGCCTCATTCCCCCTAACCAAGTTTTATAAAGTTTTAAAATGTGACTTTAAAATATAGGTATAAGGAGTCCTTTTTAACATGTTTTTTTCCCTACCCTGCCACCGACAGTTTTGTAAATCATGGTTCCAAAATTAAAATTTAAAAAGAAGAGAGAAGAGTAAGAGCAATATCCAAAATCCAAATTGCAACTCAGTTCTTCTACCTCGTGACTCTTGTGTGTTCCCATAGCTCTGTTTGTCTTTTCTAAAATTCTTTATTTTGTGTTTACTAGAGTGTGATCAGCTTGAGGGCAGAAACTCAGTATTGCTCGTTCTCGTCTGCCTTGGTGTCTTAACAAATCTGTGCTCTTGGGAGGCATGGGGAGAGCAACAGTTTCTGTATTCCCTGATTTTCCTCTCTCCATAGTACGAGCACATTTTTACATGTTTCGTCTTATTTATCTTTTGTCTCATCTCACTAAATGGAAGTGCTGGGAAGATAGGAATTTTCTCTCCCTTCCTTTCTCTTTATTGTTGTTGCCATAAGCAGGGGTTACACACTTGTGATGCTCGCATACGTCTGATCGTTGTTTGCTGGAGGTCATGTTTGTTGTGGTGCAGTGCCAGGGATCAAACCCTTGGCATCAGGCATGCAGAGTGGATTCTTTCCTACTGAGCCACGTCCCTGGGCTAAAGGTCTGAATATCATCTCTTTCATAGTAGCCACACCCAGTGGGTGTGAGGAGACCTAAGACCACTCCCGGCCATGCTCAGCTGGTTATCCATGTCCTGGCGCAGTGGTCCAGTGCAGCAGTATAGTGGCAGTTATATTGCTGCCCCTGCCTGTGGTGCTGGTGCAGGGCTGGGATTCGAAACCAGGACCTCATACAGCTGAGGCATGTGGTCTACTACTTGAGTTATTTCTCTAAGCCAAAGGCAGGGTTTTTAAAAAATAGTTTTGCCATCAATG